AATCATCTAGGCCACCCCTCTGCCAAGGCAGGATCACCTAGAGCAGGTTACATAGGAAAGCAAGCAGGTGGGTTTTGAATGTCTCCAGAGAGGGACACTCCACAACCTCCCTGGACAGCCTGTTCCAGTGCTCTCCCACTCTCACAGTAAAGAAGTTCTTCCTTATGTTGAGGTGAAACTTGTTGTGTTTTAGTTTTGGTGAGTGCTCCTCGTCCTATTGCTGGGCACTACCAAAAAGAGCCTGGCACCATCTTCTTGACACCTGCCTTTGAGATACTTCTATGCACTAATGAGATGCTGTCTCAGTCTTCTGCTCTGTAGAATAAACAGGACCAGTTCCCTCAGTCTCTCCTCATAATAGAGATGCTCCAGTTCCTTAATTATTTTTGTTCCCCCCTGCTGGACCCTCTCCAGTAGCTTCTTTTCTTTCTTGTGCTGAGGAGCCCAGAACTGGACTCCGGAACACAGCACTCCAGATCTGGCTTCACTAGGACCAAGTAGAGGGGAAGGACCACCTCCCTCAACCTGCCGGCCATACTCTTCCCAGTGCACCCCAGGAACCTGTGAAGTGCATGTGCTAGTGCTTATCACTTTGCATATTTCTGCAGTATACACCAGTTTGTTTTTCCACAGTGGAGAAACTTAAAAAGCAGAGATGCAACTTTATAGCTCTGAAGAGGGTTCATGGATCCACAAATCCTAACACAGTTGTTCTGTGCCTGTTGGGTGTCCGTAGGGATCACAGGCAGCCACACAGGAGACCAGCACCTTTCTGGCCTATCTGCTAGTTACCAGATGAGATATCCAGGGCATCTAAAACAGCCTCAGGCTCCTATCTTCAGGCAACCATATCCCACCCAGGTTGTCATATTTTAAAACTGTGTGTTGGGCAAGCCCAAATAGGCATTTCTAACTGAAGCCTGCTGTCCTGCCTCCTGGGTTTTTTTGTTACCTTCAGCACTGTTAAATCAGGGCTAACAACAGTGGTACCAGCCCCACGCAGAGTAGCCCTTCTGAGGGCAGATACCTTCTGTGAGTCATTGCAAAACATATGTCCTTTCCCTCCTGCTGGTGCCCAACATATGTAAGAGTTGAGGGTCCAGGCTAGTGTCCACATCTGCCAGCCCCTTGCCAGTGATACCACTCAAGAAAAGACCTGTTAAATATCTGTGCCCATAGGAGCTTTGGAGAAAGCTGCCTTGCAGCTCTGTTTTGGGAGAGACACCAGCTCCCTATCACTCTGTGCTTGACAAAGCAGTTACAGCAGTTAAGGGTGGAAACAGCTCAGGGTGCTGGCTTGCAGTTTGTCATACAATATCATGCTGTGACCTGTAGCAACTCAGGATAAAGATACCCATGCATGACACCCTTGGATGACCAAGTAAAACTGCTTCTGCAGCAAGTCCCCGTGTCAGTCAGCCCCTGAGGATACATGTATGGGGATGTACACACGGATGCACAGGAAGTCACCTGGGTTATTGTCTTAGAAGCAAGAATAAAGCCTGAGCTATGCCCTGCAGCTATTTGTCCTATTCACCCTGAGCTCTTCATGGCTATGGCTTCCCTGTTAGCCGAATTCGACATGGTTTGTAGCTTTTCAGGTTTCTCTTTGCAGTCTCTTAGTCCAGCCTCTTACTAGTTTGCTGCAATAGAAAATAAAAAAACAGAGGAGTAGCCCTTCAAGGCAAAACTGGGTCGATGAACATTTACGTTCAATTAACACATCACGATTCTACCTCCACAACTACAGTGAATGCAACTAAAAAGTGAGAACAAGCTGAATTAAGGCTGCCATGTAACCTGAAACCTTTGTTTCTTGGCTGAAGCTTCTTGTGGTGTTGTTGCTGAATTTATGCTCTGCGAGGCTATCACGCTCTGGCTGACTTGGATTTCTAATGTCTGGTCTAATGACCATGCTTTCCTTCTTAATTTTTTCCCTTCTCTTCAACATTGTCAGAAGCATTTCTGGACTTAAAAAGTGTTTAACTCCCGCCCCAGTTCCTCCTTCAACTTTTGACTCAGGGACCCCCTATGACACACGGTTATGACATCAACCTTGATGGGGATCTGTGATGACATGCAATTCCTGGAGGGTGCCTACGGATGCTAAAGCATCCTTCCCCTGAGGTGCCACCTGACTGCCAAGCCATGCACTTTAGTGAACCTCTGTCTGAAATGACTCAGCACAGAGCCGGTTTTTGATTTCCACAGGTTGCACAGTTCTCAAACACCTGGCCCCCTCCATCTTTTGGGGAGTGTGTGTGCATATGGATACTGTAGAGGTAGAGGGTGGGTTGAGGATCACAGCTGCACAACCTTCTGGTATTTGCAACCAGTTTTTCACGAGTGCAAAAAATCCCTCTCTGTTTCTGCCTTATACATTTGTATTTTCTCTTTCAGTTCCTCTACTGACTTCTTCCTTTGGCTCCCTTCATGCATGTATGTCGGATTTGTACTATCCCTTTGTTTGAATTGTAAGCACTTCAGAGCAGCAATCATGTCTCCATCTGTTGTCTTGACAAGAGACTTACATGATAGTTTGGTTTAAAACCACTCAGCTGTAACTGAGGCTTTTGCAAGGAGTGAACAACAGTCTGAACCCTTTGACAGCTTTTCTTCATGAAAAAAGTCTTTCCCAAGACTAATGTGAATTTGAAGTCTGCCAGTCTCAAATATTTTTAATAATTAGTTTATTATTTAAATATTTGGGGGGTTATCTTAATTTTTTTTTTCTCATCCTTCGCGGTACTACAGGTATATACATTTGCATGCACATATGCAGATGAGAGCAACTCTTCCCTCACTGCATAAACACATATATATGTATGAAGGAAGAGCTTTTCATTAATTTCCTTCATCACTACAGCAGGGGCTACAAGAAAAAAAAATACTGTGAGATTCACAGTAAAAAGCGCTAGGGTGGATGGCTTTTTAACTAAAAAGAGCTCTCTTTTGGCCACTCTGGCTTGGCTTTGAAGTATGTCCTTCCACATACTTTGCCTCTCCCCCATCCTTCTTACACTGTGATCAGAAGTCTACCTTCATGGAAAATGAGTTCATCAGGTTTCAGTAGTCTCCTGGCAAGCCAAGCATAAAACAAAGAGAGCTGCCGCTCTGCACCCACATGTGTGCTGCTGCCTTCCAGGAAACAATAATCAGAGGCTCAGGGCTGACCGCAGTGCTGTAAGAAATTAAGCGTGTGATCATCATCAAATATCAAAACATGTCTACCTGTATTATGTTAAGAGCACACAACCCACAGTTGTAATTTTTAACTGAAATACTTGGCTTGGAGGCAAAGCTGGGGTTTTCCACGATCATTCCGAGTTCTGAATTGCCAAGTCTCAAACCAACATATTTTGCACTGTCTCTCCACATGCAGCCCAAATCAACCCTCGGGTAGGTGCCTGATTTTTATTCTTAACTGAAATGTTGTAACAGTTACTGGATTTGATGGGGTGTGAGCTCAGGTCCCCCCAGCCCTATGGCACCAGGGACAGAGTAAAATTCACTTGACCATTTTGTGAGTTGGGGATCATTTTTGTTGCAGCACTGCAAATATAACCTGCTACAGCTGGACACGAGTTGTTGTGAGGAAGAAATTGTTCATCTTGTGATAGATCAGTGTCCTCTGGAATTTAAGTATTAATTGAAAATTCAGGGTCAGAGGGCAGCTGGCACTTGATTTTGCTCTTTCCCCTGTCCATGGCTTTGATCATGCTACATCTTTCTTTGTGTCTGGTGCTCAAGACGGTACCACAGGGTCACAGCCGGTTCCTAGTCAAGAGGTACAAAACTACTGGCTTAAATATCTGAAGCCCAAGCTTTAGCAGGGGGGCATGAAGGAAGAGGAGGGAGCATTTCCTTCATGCTTTTCACTTTTCCCACATAACCCAAAGCAGACTAAACAAAACCAGTGTGAAATCTCATGGCTTGATGCTGCTATGGTTATATTTTTTAAGCTGTCATCCATTCATTTATAGTAATGTTTATTCCCTGGGTTTACAGCTTTTTTTTCAGCCTTTTCTTGCAGTGAGGTTGGGGGGGAGGTCAAAACCTTCTGAAAGAAGATTGCAGTGAGCAGTGGCCTGTGATTAAAGTACAGTGTTTTTCCTTGATGCCGCTCCTCTGCAGCAGTGTCACACATGGTAGCATTTAGGAGCCCTTCACAGCTGAGGTGTTTCAAACACTAATGAATGGAAGTTTGGTTGCATAAGGCAGGCAAGCTTTAAGGCAAGCTTTGCTGAATGGTGTACTATAGTGGCCTGGGAAAGGAAGAGAGTTATAAATTGTGTCAGTTAGCCACCCAGACAAAATGAAGCCATGTGGAAAATCAAATCTATTAAAGTATGAAGACTGTTATAAGCTGTTTTAAGCAGTCATTCTTCAAAGGTCTCAGTTGGCTGTGGAGGCAAATTCCTCTTCTTCCTAGATCTTTTTCATGTGCTGTCTTAGGCAATGATGTGCAGTGTTTGATAAAAAACAACTTTTCACTGACAGCCCCTTTAATTATAAATGTTTATTGCCCCCAGTTCACCACCCATGTCCTGAAAGGTACTGCACATTCATTAAAAAAGTCAGGAAAAGAGCATCACATTTGGTCAGGCTTGCTGAAGGTAAACATGAAGCAGTACAAGGGCCAATGAGAAGGAGAAGGAGAGCAACAGTTTATCATTGGATACCTGCTCAGAATGTTTTCTGTCTTCTAGCTGTCCATGTCTGCTGGCCATAGGAGACCTATGACAGAGCATGGCACACATTACTTTTTCTTGACATCTCCTGGGGTGGAACAAAAGCCTGGCAAGGCAAAGTGGTGGAATCAGAGAACAGGGTACCTTCCCTTCCTCCCCAGGTTTGCTTTTTGAGATGTCACAGCAGTTGTAAAGAGCATTTTATTAGCTCGGGAGGTAATTGTCAGCTGTGTGAGAGAACAGTGAAGCAGCAGCCTAAGATGCATGGTCATATTATTATTATATATTATTGCTATTTGTGTATTCTAGGAAGAGACTGAAGAAACGTCCTCACAAGAGTCTGCAGAGGAAGACTAGGACACCGCACCATGCAATTTCTACCTCATCAGCAATCTTTTGAAGGGAGAAGACACTGCCTTGACCACTTACTTTCTATTGCCATGATCTTTCCACTTTTGCCTAATGGGGGGGTTGGGGGGGGCGAGGGGAATCACATAACCTTAAAAAGGATTTGACTAATCATCTTTGTAATCCCTTCACAGTCCCAGGTTTAGTGAAAAACTGCTGTAACACAAAGGGGACACAGATTAACGATGCAACTTTTAATTACTGTTTTCTTTTTTCCTATTAATAGTTTGAGTTGCTAAGTAAGGGTGAATGGGTCCAGAAGAGCTCCAAATCAGGTTTATGTCATTCACTGCACTACATATAAACAATAAACTTTTAACATAGTCATTATAATGGGCATTGAAATAGGAAAGGCTGGGTGTTGTAACACTTATGCCTTGTGACACTTCCAGGCAACCCACTCCCTACTTAGCGAACTCCCTGTTTTAGATCACCAAAGATAAGGGATAGATACTACTCTTTTTCTTTTGTAACCTTCTGGTAGACTTGTACTTGATTTTTTATTTTTTTGGTAAGACTTACTGTTATTTCAGGAAAAGAAAGCTGATCTTTCACTTCATTCAGCTGGTAATCAGAAGAAAGAAATAACATGAAAATGGTACTTTCATTTTGCAAAAGGGAAGAAAGACAAAGATACGTTGTATAGTTATAGATACAAACATATCAGCAGAAGTAGTAGTAAACAAAATGAACAGCCCTTATCACCTGGATAATAGGAAGCCAGGGAGTTGGCTCTATGTAGAGTGAGGCATTTTCTGTGGAAACTGAAATGACTGACACCAAACTCTCTTATGCCATTAGTGATTAAGTCTTTATATAGATAAAGGTGTTTCAAAACATACAGAATGGTACCTAAAAATTATTCATGCATGTATCTGAACAAAAATAATCCAGATTTTTGCTTAGTTTAACTAATTTGCTTTTTTAACTAATTCTCCTCACCCCGGACCAGTATTTTGAAAGAACTGAATATCTCCTCATTACTCATCAGTCACAATGTTAGAACCAACACCCTGTACCTCAGCTAAGTTTGTTTATTACCTTAAGCAATGTATTTTGACATAGGATGGTTCACTGAGCACTTCTGTGCCAGTGGCGTTTTTCCATCTTTTCATTCAAAGCAGCACTTTTAGCACCAGATGCAATATTACCCCACTATTCAATACTACCTCTGATTTTTACAAATAACTCAACAGACTGATAAATACATGCTGCTATACACATTCAATGCAGGAAATTTTTATTGGGTAGATAATAATGAGTATCTGCATTCTCCCCTTCTTTCTATTTCAACATTATTTGCAGTTAAGGAAGCAATGTCTTTTTTTGTGTTTCAGCATGACTATGTGTTTTTCTTTCGCTTGATTTGTTTGGGTTTTTTCTCTTTGTGTGGGTTTTGGGGTTTTTTGGGTTTTTTTGTTTTGTTTTATGTACTTTTCCTATTCTCTGCTAGACTTCTGTGTAATGTACTGTTAACTTGAATATATTTTTGTACTGAATTGCTTATAGGTTTGGGGAATAATTTTCTTCAGTGACACTACATGACATAGAAAAAAATTTAGCTGTAATGTTTAAATATTACTGTCCAAGTTTGTACCTCAAATTTATTGTTTAAAGGAATGGACTAATTGATTGACAAAGACCTACCTCCAGACTTTAAATGGAATGAACTTGTTACTTTCAGCATTAGTTTTGAGATGTTTGAAACAGTTAGGACTGCAACTAATCCCTAATTCAAAACTATTTTTGTAAAATAACTTGTGGAAAATGAACACATTTTAAATTACTTTCATATTAAAAAAAAAAAAACTAACAAAAAAAACCTTCAAAGAAACTTGAAGCTTTGTAGGTGGAAAGCAGCAAGCTCAGCTTTTGCATAATGCAATCACAAATATGTGTTTAAAAAAAAATTAGTAGATTGTAAGAAAATACTTGACAAGTATTTTCATGTATTTTAGACACATGTGATTTTGTAATGTTTCAGCCAGATTTATTTTAAATGCTTCTTATGTAGAGGTTTTTTATTCTTCCCTCTCTGACTTTTGTTGTTCTTTCTCTCTCTCTCTCCCCTCCAATTTCATTTTCTCTATTTCTGTTTTGTTTCCCTTCTTCCTCTCTTTCCTAGTCAGTACTTTGTACCATTGTATTAATAACTGGGCCGGGGGTAGTTTCTCAGGAAGGCATCCTTTGGTATGGCTTTAGTACTGAGCCAAATGCAGTTAAAGATAACTACTTACTGGCTTCTTCCAAGAGGCAGTGTCAAGAAATACGGACCTCCTCGAAAGACTGAGAGGGTTCAGTAGTGGAAATTGCTGAGAAGGAGCTGATCACAGTATCACAACTAGGCATGTTAATATTAAGTGAAAGAGAAATCCTAGCTATACAGTAGCTCTAACAGGCCAATTCCAGTGTCACTTGAAGGCAGTAAAAGGAATTCTGCTGGCATCAAAGGGCATTGAATCAAGCCTTAGCAAGTCCCTTTTACGATTTAAGGGTTTTTTTGCATTTTCTAAAACCACAGTATTCAGTAGATGACACAGAAATAATTGCTGGGTGTATGTCACTCTTCAAGCTCCGAGAGACTTACCACTCTGATGAACTGAATCTTACATTTTCTATATATTGTAGTACAATCAAAACACATTACTACCTCTTAGGGCCTACTATACCTCATTTTTTCAGACTGAAAAATTGCATGTGACCATTGACTCAGTGAGGACATCATAAAATTTTTTTATATGTATAGTTTATTTTTGTGGGAGATAAATTTTATACGACTGTTCTTTGCTGTTATTGGTCACTGCTTACTATGACTGGACATGTAACTCTTCTACCATTTCTGCAAGAAAAGGTGTGTTTGCAGGAAAAAAAATCACTTCAAGATGTTTAACTACAGTGTACTTTTCCTTTTGAGTGTCTTCTAACTTTTTGCTTTTTTCTTCATGTAGAGTTGGTGTCTATGATTGTACTTCAAATCGCTTGCTTGTTGAAAATGTTCCTTTAATGGATTATCACAGTCTGTTCAGCACAATAAACATAATAGCCTCTGTGATCCCCATGTTGTTTGATTCCTAGACTTTTGTCACAGTTCCATAAAAAAGTAATAAAGTTGGGTCACAATGACCAAATTTGTAAAATCTGTACATGCAAGTAGCCTTTTTTTTGTCCTAGGACCATAGGCATGTGCCTTAGAAGAAGCGCATTTGCTGTTAGGGGCACCAGGGGTGGGCGCTTAACAGAGGGACACATCTCATGAGGCTTCCCAAAAGGTTCCCATTCCTGGCCTGGAACCGGCTGTGCCAAAGTAAGGACTAAACCATGCACTTGGAGACCAGTAATCCTACCATAGCATGGGCCAGGCTGATATGGGTTTTCTTGCCTGATGTCAGGCACACCTCTAGGGAGTCCACCAAGTTGACAAGCCTTCTCATTTTAGGCAAGATTGCAGGATTGCAGTTTGTATCCTGGTTCATGGAGTTTCCATTATGCAGCATTAGTTAGAAAGAGCAGGTGCTCAGAGCAGCAGCCGCAGGGATGTGGCTGGGTGCAGTCTGCAGCACAAAATGAAGAGCTCAGGAAACTGCATTAGAACTCAGACACCCCCAAGATTGTCACAGGCAGGTTGGGCAGGATTTTTCTGACTTCTCTTTTTCATTTGCTCTTATATGGTCTCTTGGCCTGTTACAGTGAGATTTAAAGTCATAACATCATAGAATTGAATCACAGAATATCCTGAGTTGGAAGAGACCCACAAATATCATCCAAGTCCAACTCCTGGCCCTGCACAGGACAGCCCCAAGAATCCCACCGTGAGCCTGAGAGTGCTGTCCAAACCCTTCTTGAACTTTGTCAGGCTTGGTCCTGCAACTGCTTCCCTGGGGAGCCTGTTTCAGTGTCAAACCACCCTCAGGGTAAAAAAACTTTTCTTAATATCTAACCTAAACCACCCCAACACAATTTTAGGCTATTTCCTCGGGTCCTGTCACTGGTCACCAGAATAAGAACAGATCAGTCTGCCGCTCCCCTTTGTGAGGAAGTTGGAGACTGTGATGAGGTCTCCCCTCACTCTCCTCTTTTCCAGGCTGAACAAACTAAGTCACCTCTGCTGTTCCTAATGTGGCTTCCCCTCTAGGCCCTTCACCATTCATAGCCCTTCTTTGGATGCTCTCTAGTAGCTTTATATCTGTTTTATATTATGGTGCCCAAAACTGCAGACAGGGCTTACGGTGAGGCCATTCAAGTGCAGAGTAGAGTGGGACAATCACCTCCCTGATCTGGCTTAGACTGTGGTGCATGTCTGTTGACTCATGTTGGCAGCCATTCCACTCTCACCTTAGGGGATTGTCCAGTTATAATTTCCTGGGAGGTGTAGGTTTACACATTCTTTGTGTTCACTCATTTGCAGACTCTCCAGCTAATCTCTGTTGGTCAGATAACCACTGCTTTGCCAAGGGCTTCATGGCATGTTTCCTTTGGGCTCAGTTACTTGCAAAATAACCAAAATACAATCACAAAAAAAGCCGTTAAGAAACAACACACATTCAGTCCTGAGTCAGATGTAAGTAATTACATTCATCACATTATATTTCCTCTTCTGCTTTGTCACCCTACTTGGTATATTAAAAGATCGTTCCAATTTTCAGTCTTCCTGGTGGTCATCCTCCCTGTGGTTGCCATCACTTGGCTCATCTTGTTATTTTATCTGGTGTGATGCTCCAGCTGTAATCCACTGACCTGATGTATCAGCCAAGTGGCTGAACTTCTTCTGCTCTGTGCTTAACTCCTCTCTACTTTGTAGTCATTTCTCCTGCTTGCTTCACTCCTGCTTCCCTTCTCAGGGCATCTCCCAATAAATTTTTGCACACTTTAGACTATTTGTACGTGTAAAACTAACTGGCTTCTGCAGGATTGAGGCCTGTGTTTGTCTAGCAGCTGAGTGTACTTTATCCAAGATGCCTGTGGCAAGAGTCATATTAAGGTTCTGCTTTTGTTTTCCACTCCCGTAACATTTCATCCACACAAAAATGGGGGGAATTATTGAAAGCTGGCACTGCCAGTGCCTTGCACACCTTTTTAATTGTCCATCGCTCTTTTCAAAACCAAACCATCTGGTCTAGTCATCATTAGAAACAGGATCCAGTGCAATGACAACATGTTCTCCTGATCACACAAGAGGAGTCAGATTTGTCATGCCTCTAGCTTCACCTGAAGCCTGAATGAAGCAATGTTTTCCTGCTGTTGCCAGGATGGGAGACACTAGTGATGGCGAAACCTCAGTCCTCTTGCCACCCCACTTCACATGCACATGAGGAGCAAAACCACTCCATGTATTCACTCCACCTTGCTTCAGGACATCCCTGTCATGCAAGTCCTGCTCTAGCAGAGTTGGTGCTCCAACCATCCTCATGTCCTCCAGTTGGAATGATGAGTTCTGCTGCTGCTCTTACCCTCTGGGCTGATTCACCTCCATGTGACTATAAGGTTTAACGTGTCTTTTTTCTTCACACCTTTTACTTCCCTTTGCCACCCAAACAACCTTTTGGCCTATTGGAAATGGTTTTTATTTCTTTCCTTCCCACCTGTGATTTAATGCTTCTCCTTTATTGCTCCAGACTTGCAATGCACATGTTCCAGTATTCAAGAAAAGGAAAGCATCTTCCTGTAATTAACATCCTCTGAAGATACCTGAATGTAATTACAATTACCCTTGAAAATAACAGTCCACTGTGGCAGAAATTTAAGTGGGAAGCAATCTGCCTGTTCACAATCTAAAATGAGATTGCAGATGGTTGTGCTCCAAACCTGTAGCCCAGAATTACAATCAGCTTTTATCTGCTAGAAAAAGCGGAAATTGAAACATTAGGAGATAAGACACAAGTCTTAAAAGTGCTTCCCTACTAAGATGGGGCTAATTAAACACAGCTAAAAACATTAGCACTGTCACATGAAGGAGGAGCTTTATGTTGTTAATAACGGTTAGGGTAAAACTGGAGCCAAACATGTGCTACATTAAGGCATGCTATTAAAATAATCAGTGAAAGAAAATAACAAATGAAAGCTGGGTGGATCGGAAAAATCAATGGCAGGCAGAAACATTAATTAGCCAGAGAGGAAACTTAGCAAAGACAGAAGTCCCATCAAAAAACAAGATTATATTATGTTATTTATGAATGTCAGCTATAAAATATTATGTGGGACCACCAAAGATTATGATTTTAATTAAAAGGGGTTTTAATTCAGAAAATCTATTAAATATATCTAGCCCCTTAAGGCATTTTATTCTTAGTTCAGGGAGTAGGAAGAAAAATAAGCACATTTTTATTGCATTGGAACACATTTGCCATAAAACCATAGTTTTAGCAATATCACATAATAAAAAGTAAAATTTAAACCAACATTTGAAAACAAGTCAGCTCAACAGATGCACAGAGGACGTAATTTTGGCCCTGTATAACTGCAGAATATTGTCTTTAAAGCTACATCACAGTCCGAGATAGGGATTTTATGAGGTCCGACATGCTCAGAAGGTGTTTGCAATTAATTACTGCTCCTAGACTCTACCTGTGCTTGAGGCCAAGACGGATTAATAACTGTCTAAAGCACTAAGACTGTTTTTTGTCAAAGGTTCATAATGTGCTCAGTTTGGGATGGTTTAGGTTTGGCATTTATATCCTAACAGACAGTAACTTCAGTGAGATCCAAGACCTGGGGAGTGTCACCTGCTGAAGTTCCCCCCATGATGCAGACTTTGGATCTCCCCACGTACGGCTGTTGTGTTATGAGCAATGCCCTTGAGGTTCATCTCACTGTCCGGTTGTAGTCCCTGCAGGTCTCAGAGGTACCACCATGACTGGTCAATAAGTGACCCTACATTTTTGCAGGGAGAAAGGGATCATACCCTAAACAAAACCGTGTGTGGCAATGCTCATGATATAGAACTTGTGCTGGCGGTGGCCATTACAAAAACCCCACTCTCACTTTTGCAAGCAGTTTACAATCACAAGGGGCATCTCGAGTTGGTTTTGGGTATGTGTAACTATATAGCAGGACCATAACTGCATCTATATAATTTTAACACTTTTTTAAAAAACACTGGTGATTCTCCATTATCTGTGCCCCTGGCACACTCAACAAAGTGTTGTACTGTATTTAAAACAACAACACACCAATGACACAGCTCAGGGTAGGAGCCCAGAATGAATGTCAGAAACCTTGTATTATCCAGACCAGTAAGTACATTTTTTTTAATAAATAAGTTTCAGTGCATTATTATTCACAGTTTTGGAGAGAGAAAAGTTACATTTTCTGATTAAAATCTTTGGAATTAAATTGCTTCATCAGCACTAAATTATCTGTGCTGGGAATGGAAGCTGGCTTCCTTCTATCAGAATCTGACACAAAACTCTTCGGTTTGGTTATATGTATGTGTTTACATGAAAACGGTCCCCAGCCTTCTTAACCTATAGAGAAAATTAAATGGTATAGCTCCTGATTTCAATAGGAAATAAGAAAGGAAATTAGGAAGATTTCATTTCCTATGGAACACAGGAAGCCTTCATAATCTTTTGTCTATCCCCTTTCCCTTAACAACTTCAAGGCTATTTCCATTCTTTTCAGTAATTATCCTTGACCTGGAAAGGATGACCTCTACTGTTGCCTTTTTCTCATGAGGGCTTGACATAGATCAGCTTGTAGTGCAAAGGTTTACCTTTGCACCTCTCTGAACTCGACATTATGGGGAATTTTCAAGGTCTTAAATACACTCTTAGGACATGCAGCCCTGAAAGTAACTGGTCATCAATCAGTAATGGTTTTTCTGGGAACACCAAAACCTGCAAATCATGGGGCTAAATAGACACAGTTTGGGGTGCACACAAATTGCAGAGGCAAGGAAGAAGACAGTAATGGCGAGTTAGGTGAAATTTCACTGGAGCTGTTTAGGGCAATGAGTGTGAGGAAAAATTAATCTATTTCATGGAAATGAAGTCCAGACAAATTTGCAACCTCTGCTCTGTAGACAAAACCTTGTGAAAGACATTTTATTGTTATTATAGTAAA